ATATTTTTTATAAATTGATAATAAAAACAAAACAAACATAACACATACATTATGATAGCAGAATAAAAAAATAAATACACAAGTAAAAATATAATTATAAAATGTTATTGCGAATTTTATTCCGAATTTCCTTCTTCGTCACTGGACTCCCCCCAATCGCTGTCATCAGGTAACAAAGTCAATATGATTGGCTCCAACATACTGTCTCTCATAATTTCTTTTTCGTTGTCTTGATCTTGCAATGCTTCTGCATGTCTCACGCACTTCTCCCAATCATGTTGAGTTACCGAATCCAATGCTTCGTGAGTCAACTTTTCTATATCGACCATTTTGCATGTTTTATTTTTTGTCGCCACTTGATTTTTTACCTGGGCCCATATCAGCTCAATTGGATTGTATTGGCAATGGTACGGTGGAAGTCGAATAACTTCGTGGCCCATTTCCAATGCCAATACATCCAATTCATATTTTTTTTCAAATGGTATTAACGCTTTAACTTTCTGTCTAAGTTCAGCTAAATTTTCTAATGGTGAAAAATAGACATTTTTTTTGGTCAACCAAGCCTGCACATCTGCTTTTCGCGTATTACTTTTGGGAAAGTTATCGATGAGGGTTGAATGATAAGATGCATTATCCATAACTATCACGGACGGTTCTTCAAGGCTGTTCAGCATTTGGGTGAACCAAGATTTGAATACTTCAGAATTCATTTGGCTGTGGTAATCCGTAGAATTGCCAGTATTACTGCGGAAAACTAATTTTGAATTCTGAATGAACCCATATTTGGCACATCCTGCATGAACAACAATAAGGCGTCCACCTTTTCCAATAGGGATTTTCGGACCCACCATACTATCATGTTGCCATGCAATGATCCGCGAATGATTTTGATTGACCCAGGTTTCATCAAGATATACAATTGGTCGTGTATCTTTATTTTGGCGGATTGTACAAATTTGTCTCAAAAATTTACATCTAAGCGCAACAATATCGTTACGCTCCATCAAAAATTTACGACCATCGCTACATTTTTTATAAGAAAATTTTAAATTCCTAAGGAGTCTTTGAATTGAACTTAAACTTCCCGAGTAATTAATTTTGCTCTTGACGGCATTAAGTATTAATTCTGATGTAGGATACTCACTTCTGTCGTAAAATTCATGAACTGTCCTCCTAACAACATCACTGTTGAAATCATCCAACTCTGAGACATATTTTGCCCGCTTGTATGATTTACGTGGAGATGAAAAAGAAGGGCCCGTCTCAGGTAATTGATCATTTTTCTTCACTTCGGAGCAAATACGTTGAATGGAGCGTTTCGATACTCCGCAAGCCTCGGCAGTAATGTCTTGCGTTTTTATAAAAAATTTGGCGTCAATTTCTTCTGATTCCGATAGTTTTTTAAAAAATAAATATACACTATAAACTATTTTTTTACTTTGGCTATGTAGATCTTTATCTTTAAATGACATTTTAATGTTAAATAAAAATAATAAATATACAAAACACTAGGTTTTTAAAAAAACAAATATATTTGTAACGTATTACTACGACAGCAAACCGACGTGTGCAAAGCAACAGTGAATATACTATAATGCAAAGAAAACATGCCACAAGCAGATACGAATACAATTAAACATACCATACAAGTCCCACCATCCATAATAACCATCTGTCCCTCTATAGGGTCTCTAACAGGTTTTAAAACATATAAAGAAGGAATGTGGTCTAAAGGGATGTCTAATGTTTGAAAATGAACAATAGCGCCGTTAATATTCGTGCTGCGCCGCCGCCGTACCGAATCGCAACAATAGAATGAGAACCACTGTCTACGCGGTGGGTGAGGTTCGGGGTACTGCGGCGGCCACCCGCCACATTTCGTGACGCGGACTATAGTAAGACATCAGCTTTATTGCACAGAACAATCAAGATTTTCAAGGAAGAATTTGGAGTGTATCGATACGTATCGAGGCAATTTTGAGCGTTCAAGAAGTTACACGTGCAGTATACTAGCGATACGTACCGACCCGTATCGGACTCGGACTTCGATATGAGGTGGTACGTATCGATACGTATCGAATTTTTCTTCTTGAAAATCTTGAATCATTATTGTTTTATTCTGCAGGACTGTGGTGGTATTCACGGCTGTAAGTAGACCTGTCAATTTACAATTTATCTGTACCTATAGACTGTACCTTGAGGCTTATATTATATACAATTGTATATTTGTATATGAGTATGATCTAAGCAAGGATGGAAATTATTTAAAAAATATTAAATTCCTACTGTTTATGCTGCATTATTCATTATTATGAATCTTTGACTAGTTTAACTTAGAAGTTCCTAGTCACTATAATTGATGTAGTATGTAGATAGGCGCAAGTCGCGCAACCATTGATAGCTTGACTGATTCAAATTTCAACCCTCGACAAACAATGAAGATTTTGAAGGGAAAATGTAAACTGGGCCCGTGATAATACCTTTTATGGGGACGAGGTGACCGAGTGGTCTGACGCGTCCGCTGCGACGCAGCCGATCGCGGTTCGATCCTCGGCCACCGGGCAGCATTTTTCTCAGGACAAGTCGCGGTGACCAGAGAACAAGTGCCGCCATCCCCCAACCGGGCATGGCAGAAACCTACGGGTGCCCAATAGAAATTCTGCCAAAACAAAAACACACACGTGTTCCCCCCC